CATTTCAGTCAGTACTGGCCCCAGTATCTTCACTGGGACTCTTTTTAACCAAGATCCTTCCTCCAGAGATTCCTTTCCACCTCCTTAGGGCCCACGGTGGTTTCAGTGGGCTACCAAATCCTCCATCCCCTCTCACCTCAAGTTGCCGGGCAGCTACACCACCCCAGAGACAGCTGCATTTATTCACCAGATGACCAAACTGTGTGAACTGCTGCTGTGAAAACCCCACAGGTCCATCCTGGAACCAATTGCATCTCAGGGCTGGGGAAGCTATCCCAACACACGCATGCTGTGCAGCTAGTATTCGCCTGTCTCTCCTCAAAGCTGGTTGTTTTTCAACATTGGGCAAGCCACCACTTCAGTGAGAGACTCCTCCCAGTTGCCCCACCCCAGAGCTGGCTGCATTTCCATGAAGGTAATAGAGATAAGTTTCTCGCTGAGATTAAGGCAGGGCAGAAGGAGGACCAGGGTATGGTTTGGGTAGGAAGGAGATGAAAATATATAGAGCAATAGCTAGAGAGGGAAGCAGTGGGAGGGGGAAATCTATCAGGACCCTGGACACCTGGGTTCTGCTTTCAGCCCCGCCACTGACTGCCTGTGTGATTTGGGAAAGTCACTTTACCTCCTTGTGACCTGGTTTCTTCTCCCACCATCTGTCTATTTAAACAGTCAGCTCTTAGGGGCAGGGACTTTCTTTCAGTCTGTTGATCTGCATAGCACCCGGCACACTGGGGACCCCGATCCCAGGTGTGGGAGGGAGATGTTGGACCTATGCAGCACCCTGGGGACAATTCCAGTTGCGGGGCAGGTGAGTCTGTGAAGCACGCAGTACACTGGAAACCCTGATCTCAGCTGTGGGGGGCTCTGGGCGGTGCCTGACACACCGGGGATCCGGGTCTGACACAGTAAGGACCCTGATCTTGATGTGGGGATGGGTCTATGCTGCATCCAGCACCGCGGGCCCTCCAGTCTCTGTGAGGGGTGATATAAAAGTATCCGGCCCAATGAGGAACCCAATATTTGTCTGGGGGCCCCAGTCTTGGTCCGGGGGGGGGGGCTGAGCAGGAAAGGAGCCCGCCGGCCAAGGCGTCCCCCACTTCCTTCTCCTTCAGAGCTCCTGTAATCAGAGACAAACAACCCCCCTTGTCTCATTTTATCCCAGCTACGTAGTTGGTCCTGTAAAAGATACCCCACTAAGAAATCCTCTGGGCAGAGGAGAGGGGGAGAGCCCGGGAGCCCTCCCCCCGCCTGGCAGGGCCAGTCTCCGTCAGGCCCGTGTCACCAGCTGGAATTCCCCTGCTCGGCTCTGCTCCGCTGGGGCGGGCGGCGGCGGGAGGGAAGAGGGCTCCTCTCGGGGGGCCGCGGAGGGACGCGCAGCGCAGCGCAGCCGGGGCAGCGCGTGGACGCGGGGAGGGGAGGGGCGGTGCTGGTTGTAGGCCTGACTTTATCCCAATCGCACCGGCTTTGCGGGTAGATGTGATGTCTTTTATCGGAGTAACCGGGCCGTGCGGGGTGGGGACGGGG